CGTGTGGTAGCTCGACTCATTAACCCAAGATTGGGTGTGCGGTGGTGGGTAGACACAGTTGTAGTTCATATCTCCTGCACACCAAAACAGAACAACCACACGTAGCCACGAAAAGAAGGAAATAAGAAAAAGAAGGAAAACTAAAACAAAAAGAGCAAAAAAAATCAAGGATGCACAAAAGAGAGAACAAAAATACGAAAAACACCAAACAAAGAGAAACACGAAAAATAAAATCAATGCCAAAACTAAATATCCTACTTGCCTTCCCCGGCAACGGCGCCAAATTTGTTGTGTACAAATTATTCTTTTTACCGAGTACCGAATCGAAAGATTCGTTTCCCGGGCCGATCTCACGAGGAAGGCGGTTCAGAATTCAACTTTGGTATTGACAACACATAAAAGCAAAATAAATCCTAAACACTCTAATCAGATAAAGATTGGGTGGATTATCAACTAGGAAATAAAATAAAATGCATAAAATATAAATTTACCTAAAACATGAAAGCTTAGCTCAATTTACGAAGCTTTAGGGAAGCGAGTCCCAAGTGGATAAACCTCAATGAAGAAGCTAGAGAATCAGGGATATCCGTTATGGCTCAAAATACGATTATCGAGCAAATGATCATTCGGTTAAGAGAATTTAATAAACTACTCGTTCAGAGATTGTCCTCAATAACTCTTCGTAACAAGAGGATTAATATGAACGGAAAATCAATAAGTCCTTTTAAACATATTGGCAATACCATTACGAACAAGCCAATTTCATGTGGCCTAGGTCTATCGACTCCTCCTCTTTCGATTCAGAAAGTCGATTAAATAGCTTAATGGTTTTTAATCAATCAAGCAATAGATTCCATGAAATCATTCAAGAGCAAATCCAACCCAATCGATGAACAATTGTAAATTGAAGTGTCACTACTTCAATGATTTTCAAAATTCCAAAACAATTTCACAAAACCCTAGTCAAGATCAACCCACATGAATTGAATAATCAACAAGCACAATAATCATAATTGAGATAAAAACATTAATCCCCTATCCCTAGCATTAAGATTTAGCTACTCATATTCAAGATTAAACAATCATCCATACAAACCCAAGCTTCCATAATCAAAGATCAATTGAAAGAGAAACTTACAATTTAGATGAAATTGAAGGTTTAATCCAAGCACAAGATAAAAATCTCCAAGTGATGATGAAATCAAACATTAATATAGTGTTCTTAGGGTAAGAGATAAGGGGAAAAAAAACGAGTTTGTGGGATTCCTTTCGGTCTGGGAACGAGTCCCCATGCCAAGTACTCGAAAAAAAGAACAAAACTTAGCTTTTAAAAATCTGGTCGCGACCTTCGCGACCGCGGGAGGCTCCGCGGCCGCGACATTTCTGCGCTGAAGTTTGGGAACTGGCAGATTTTTGTTCGCCGTTGTTCGCCGCGGCCGCGGTGAAGAAAGGGTCGCGGCCTCGGCGATGAAATCTGCACTGCACGACTTTACGGTTTTTGCTCGTTCGGGTTCGTTTTAACTCGGAATTGAGTTCCGTTTTTTTCTACGCGTTACTAACGAACCCCTCTTTCTAATGGTGTCAGTTTCTCCAAAAAAATTCCCAGAAACCTGTTCTCCCGAAGCTCTCGACCTACACACCAAAAACGAAAACACAAACGGAAAACTACCAGAAAAAACATAAGAATTACCGGGGCACTCAAGACAACACAAAACACACGATAAATGATAAAATGAACCTAAAACCAACTAAATGACTCGTAATGGGGGAAAAAGAATGAAAAAATAACAACAAAAAACGCAACAAAAATGGGACAAACAGATAACAAGTTATAAACCCCCTCCATGGCATTGGCCTGAAATTTTTTTTGAAAATTATTACCATTAAACAAAAAAAAAAACAAAAAAATAATAATAACAATAATAAAAAAAACACAATTTATTAACACTTACACTGCACATCCCCTGCTCGGACAGTGGATGAAAGCTCCTTGCTGTTGGACCACCGTGTTGTTGCCAAGATTACTGATTAGTCTTCGAGTCCTATAGTGAAACCAATCAAGGTAACCCGGCTCAGGCTCAAGGAACGACTCCACAAGGTAATGTGGAAGGACATGTTGGGCTCTTTGGGCTCCAAATGAAGCTCGGCAAAATATACAGTTGTGTTGGGATTCACTCTTTGAAGCTCGACAAAATATCTGTACAATACAAAACAATTTCATAAATAAATAAACATAGTGACATACAAAAAACACATATATTTGTAATGAATTTTTGCTTACTGAGGGAGTTCTGCAAAGTTCGACTCCCAACTGCCGTACACACACTCGTTTGCTTTTTTCTGTCGTGCTATGCCTTCTTGTAACTGACGTCGACTTTCCAACACTGCTTTACATCAGCCTGGACCATGTTAACGTCGTACTCCACTTTCTTCTAAATCTTATTAATTATCAAATTCGCAATCATATGAGCGGTCACGTTTCTGTGGTCATTTCTGTCGACCTGTTGCATGCAAGTGTGTTTGTCAGTCCATTCAGTTACTTCTCACAAATCATCACACTGTCTGGCCTTATTCACCCGAGCCTTCCACAGACAAGGCAAATCTGCATTCGATTTACAAACCAGTTTGAATGACTTCTGAATTGAATCTTTTGTCCGAACCTCCCGCAACCTATCGACGTTCCAAGCCATTAGACTCGTTTGGGCTTCTTCCTTGCTCCGGAAAACTGTACCCAAACGTATGGTCTCAATGTCGCCATTCCACCGTGGAATAGCACACTCGTTCGCATCTATCTTGGACGGGTCCCATTCACCCATCTCGCGGTATATGTGCCGACCACCAATAGGAAATGGGTGTTCTTCTTCAATGAACTCGGCTTCACTCTCCTCATTAACCGATCTATCTTATTCGGTTTCTGAGGTCTCGTCTGTGAAGTCATGTTCACCGGAAATAAAATCTTCATCGTCTTCATCCGCCGCCCATTCTCTCGATATCCCTTCTCCAAAATTAGATACATGAGAAGTCGATGTACCCTCGACATCAAACACTCCCCCGTAACAAGGAGTAAAATCCTCAAACTGTGTAACGGGTGTATTTGCCTGCAACGATAAATGCAAATACACCATGGACATACTAGGAAAGTAATAAATCCAATCAAAACTATCGTTATTGAGTATTGCGGGATTCCACGAACTATCAGGTTGGCTAATCATCATAGTAATCTCCTGAATTGTCCAACCTTCTTCAAACTGACATTTTTCATTAATCATTTGTACCAACTGTTCATATGATATCCTCCCCGGAATTATAAATGAACCACTCGGACGATCTTTAAATGAAACAAAATCGCTTAACATTTACTTCCCAAAATGCCAGTACAAATTAACAAGGTATGGACCGGGATAGGCCATTTTATACATGTTGCAAATAAACACTTTCAATTCTTTTTCCAAAAAAAAAAACTCAATTTTTACTCTCCAACAAAAAATAAAAAATAACAAAAAATAGCCCCCAATCAAATAATCATCTAAAACCATTAAACTCATAATCCAACAATAACATAAAATTCATCTATAATTCGGATAAATTGAAACCCCTAATTCTAACCCTAATTTCGAAAAACCCTAACCCCAACAACAACCAAACAATACACAATTGACAATTTACACACAAAATTCCAATCCTCAATTCAACATACACACATAATCGATAATTAATTAGCAATTTTCAATCTTCAAATATCACCACATTCAAACATATTATATCAATTCTCAATCTCCAAACAACTTCAAATAATGTAAAAAGTAAGGATAAGACAATATACCTCGTGCGAATAAATTAACCGGAAATGAAACTCGTGCCGGTGTTGTCGGTTCACGCCGGGATGAAGATTGGATCGAGTTTTTTTTTTTTTTTTTTTTTTTTTTTTTTTTTTTTTTTTTTT